CATTCGCCACCACTCTGAACAATTCTGACTTGCTTTTCACACCAAACCACTCTGAATGACTTTGTTCACATCTTAACCATTTATTTGTGCAGAAATTTTGGTGGAGTTCCCCTTTAAGACAACATTGAATAATGTCAGATATGGTTAAAGTTGCAGCTGTTGTGATTTGAAAATTGCAAACTGCGATTTTACTGTAAAAATGGTTAAGCGGTCAGCACTAGTGCTCAACGACACAGCTATATTCATAAAAAAGAGGCTCTCATTTGAAGCAAATCACCATTTATTTTTAATAAAAGTCTTTGAAATGAGGAGACAGAACAGGTCCACACTGGAAAAGGAAACATTCATGCATCATTCCAGGCACGGTGACGAACAACCAGTGTACAGAAATGCACTAAATGCATCATCATATTGTTTCACATCATCGTTTGAGAGGAAGACCGCAACAGCAGAGAAACGTACAAACACACATCTGTTATTATTCCAGTTATGAAACATGCATTAATAAGCAACAGCATGCTCCGTTCACAAAACTGAAACGCTTCAACAAACGGACAGAGAAAGTAAACGTTTCAAACAGCCAGTAAAATAAAAGATCAAGTAGAGGTGTAAGTGTACAAACCGTATACGTCTGATATGGATTATAATTTTTACAGAGTAAACAAAACAGACGAGAAACCGAAAACTCACAACATTTGTTGAATATATTGTTGCTGTCACATCCATTTTTAGTTCTCTTTATATTCCTTTTACACCATCCGTGTAAAAAGCGACTGCTGGCTTTTCCATTGTGTGAACGTCTCATCATGAATGGAACAATAGATAAATATAAAATATCATAATAATAAAGGGGCATCAGAACCAAACTGAAAAATTTGCTTAAACCTGTTGTAAACATGCCTACGCACCTCCTCCAGTGGTGCCACAGTGGTCTCTAGAGTGAGATTTTCCAAATTAAACACTAAAAAAAGCCCCCTGATGATGTAATCTGAATGTTGGGGGGAACTACAACTCCTCCAGGGTGGATTTTTGAGGGCGGGTTGTTTGGAATGTGTTTTTTTTCCTGCCAGCTGGCCAGATAGGTAACGTTAGCGCTAGGAAGCTGGGTATCACGTCTGTATACCAGCCCCTATATTTTATATCCTTGGGATTCCCAGTGGTTACATGGTGTATTTGTGTAAAGCATGCTGGGTATTGTAGTGCAAACACAAAAATGAGACATAATCGTGAGTTCTGTCAGACCAATGATGAATTTTAGGCCGGAATGCCACGTCAATGTACGTCGGCAATTCAAGGGTTTTTGTTACGACAGCAGTGATCGGGATGATGTTATCATTTTAAAACATTTATTGTGAAAACAAAGCTAGAAAATTGAAATATGGTTCTTTAGAACTGAACTATTCAGGAAGTAATCAGTGCTTCTAATTAGCTCTAATTAGTGCTGCACTATATTGTTGGTGATTCATTTTTATAACATGAGCCTTCATACTGAACACTGATATCATAGAGGACTGAAATATGCAAATGCTGTGGGCATCCCGACCAATCACAGGTGTTTTTTGGATGTTCTAAGTATTAATCTGATCCAACCAGTGGAAATCATTTTGGTCAAAATAGTACAGGCCAGTCTTTAATCACATCAAGGGGCTGCACATGCCTTTTTAATACATCACAAGGCATTTGTAGCGATATGTAGCATTATAACTGCAATATGAGCTAAGTCACCACTTGGTTCCACTAAAATTCATGGAATGAAGGGGAATTCCAACAACTTTTCAAAATTTCTGCATGATTAACCAGTGAATACGTGTTCAGAGCCATTCAGTGTGTTCTAGACAAACTGCGGTCAGAATGGTTCTTAGTGGTGGTGAATGGAACCAGATGTCTGAGGAGTTTAATACCTTTAAAAGCTACATAACAGGTTGTTAGTGATGCACTGAAATGAAAATTGTTAACCAAACCTGAATTCTTAATCGAAAACTGAGAACTACAGAACTAATTTAATTTTAAACAGCTGGATAAATAGTATAAAATATTACAATTTGTGAAATTATACATAATAGAAACATAATAATGCGTAATTAATCTCGTTTCTCCAGCAGGGGGCGCCATTAGCACACAAGTCGCTTTAGTGTTTGTCATTTAGAGAGAAACAGCCTCAAAGGTTTCAAAGCAAGATCTTAGGTTCACATTACAAGCCTCGCTGTTCAGTTCAGTTGCTCAGATCAGATTTTTCGAATGTAAGAGTTCACATTAGTGTAGGTAACTAAACCAAAACTGACCAGCAGAAAGAACCTTCATCGCGAAGATAATCTGCTCTGATCAACTCTCAGCTGTTTATTACGGCTGCTTTTACATTTACAGGCTGATGTGGAACAAATCAGATTTTTTGTCCTAATGTGAAACAGATCTGGTGTTTCCAGAGCTGTGTGGACACACAAATCTGATTATTACGATTCAGATCTGAGACACTGAGGCTGTGTTCAGACTGCAGGCAAATCAGATTTGTTTCTCCAGTCAGATCTTTTGAGACGACTGTGTGCACTGTTATTTGCAAGTGATCAGATCGGATTTGTATGTCCAGACATCACCAGCCTATCTGCATGGGTTGCCGTGGTAACGACGTAGCTACGCTGGTAACGCAGATTTCAAACACGGATGCAGGAGAGATGGAGGTGCATCACCTCATCCCTCCAAACTCTTCAGAATTCTCTGGCGTGACATGAATTTTTGGCGCTCTTCTTAAATCCCAGCACTTCCGTCACTCTGGATTTGACATCATCGTAGTTAGTTGTGTTGCGACCGACGCAAAGGACACTTTGAAATCTGATTTGAATGTCCAGAGCGTCCAGGCTGAGAGGCTTCTGTGCCTCCAAATATGACTTGGATTTGATTTGCAAAAATCAGATTTCATGTGGGGTTTTTTTTGTGTTGTTCAGACTATAAAAAATTAATCTGGATTCAATCTGAATATGGCAAAAATCAGACTTGGGCTGGCAGTCTGAACAAGTGTCTATCTCGTGACCATATATCTCAGATCTGATTTGAAAATATCAGATTTTTGTGTCCACACAGCTCTGGAAACATCAGATCTGTCACACTGAGCCTGTTTACACCTGTTTACACGCATTAATGTGTTTCCTGTCCTGATCATATCTGGATAAACTTTGGCCTGAATTCCATTTACTATAAAAATGCGTCCCCAGTGTGACCAGAGAAGATCCGATTTTACTTCCCACGTTATTAAAAGCACATCAACATATGCATCATTTCCATTTTACTTTTGTTTACTTTTTTCCCCGTTAAGATATGAGTGGACAAGCTTGGCTTGGACATCTTTAGCGGCCTGGAGTTCAAATGGGCTCGTAGTTTGGGGAAACTTACGGATCCTCCATCTTTCGTTTAGTTGTTTATCCTCTCACCTGCTAGTCAGCGCTCGGCAGAAGCATTTCTGGTCTCGTAATTGTACATGAATACATACTCCGTTTACACCTATTACACGTGTAAGTGTGGTCAAGATCCTCCAAATGTGGTATGAGAGACTGTAATACGATCACAATGGCCCCGGGGGTGTTTACACCTGGCTTTTCCTGCGCTCAAGTAAAATCCAAACATGATCCGATCACCAATTAAGGCAAAAAAATCTGATTTGTGCCACTTCAGCTTGGTAATATGAATATTACCTGACAAACAAACTTCCAAAATGAGAGGCAAGAAAGTTTATTACCGAAAGATATTGAGTTCCACTGTATTATTGATATGATTTTTGTTACAGACTATATAAAACAGAGCCGCAGGGGACAGCGCTTGAGCGTTTCACTGTTTTTCTGCCGCTCCAACTGTTTGGACTGTGCAGGACAGCACGCCTCTTTCATGTTTTGGGGCTTTTTTGGCCAACAGGATGGAAACCAAAGTGCCACTTTCGACCATTTTCAGACCACCTTTTTTGGTGGCCGAACTTTGGGTGCATCCCTTAAAGATAATACATAAAGTGGTTACAAATATACTGCCTAAGAGTGCAGTATAGCGAACGTAGCCCCCAAACAAACTTAGTTTTTTAGATTTATCACTATTTATCACTATTTTATCATTATCAACATTCCACTTGTAAGTTCGCCAATTGCTTTGGACAGCAAAGAAAATGGCTATGATTGTGTTGTGGACATTGTGACCCCTGGTTCCATTCACCACCACTGTAAAGAAATCTGAGTCTGTAAGTTTCTCTACAACGTACCATTTCACATCAAGCCACTCTGAATGGCTTTGTTTACATCTCAGTGGTTGAATTTTGCAGAAATTTAGAACAATCCTTGGAACTGACCTTAAACAAATAAACAGAGAGAGAGAGCGAGATAGGGGTTGTAAAGAGGGAGAGCGAATTCAGAATTGCTTCTGTAATGCAGCGAATCTGCCAAGTGTGGCACTGCTGTGCTGCTCATGGAGCAGCAATGGCTCATTGCAAAGTAGGTCCAAAAAGACAGCTGCATTCTTTTAATCCCCCCCTCAGAAACACGCTAGGAGTGGCGGCTGCATTCCGAAAGAGAAACATAGAAAAGGAAAAGCCATATCAACACACCGAGCATGCCGAACAATATACACGAACATACCATTAGCGAGGACTTCATTGCTTATTCTTCATTAAATAAAGAACAACTGTAATTTACAACATCAGCAGCAAGCAGTTCAGTGGTGATTTCTTTAAAACTGCACGTCTGGATTTAAGACCACTTCTGTAGGAATTGGTAGGAAGCATTGTCAAACAGGGCTGTACCTTATTGCAAAAAAAAAGCTTGGACATTATTGCATTAAAACCAAAATATGGCGCTATTTTTAAACATATTACTTCTCAAAGCTGCCCAGATTCAAAACTCATTTGCGTAGGTTTGGTATTATACAATAAATCCTAGAATAAACCATTCCAGATTATGCATCAGTGAAACAAGAGTTTCATTAACCTTCATAAAACAATAGCTAATTGCATTTCAGAGGCGTGTTATTGTGAAGTGCAGTGAGTTGGTAGGGCGGAACGGATATAAAAAGCCTAGTTGTGAATAAAACCCAGAGAGTAAGAAGATTTGAGTAATGACAGAAATTGTCCCCCCCAGCTCATGAAGTTCCTCCATGTGGGACTGATTCCAACACAAACTCCTATAAGCAGAGCTCATACAGCGTGGCTGCATGCTAGTCACCTGTTGCTAAATTGACGTGAACAACCATTCAGCTGCAAAACGGACCGATGTTAATGAAAACAAGGCCAGCGAGTGGCCATTAGCTTTGGCCTCTTCAATCCTGGAATCCGGGCAGGTCGTTGGTCAGCGTGTGCCAGCGCTCCACCTTTTTGCCCTTGTTCTTCAGACAGTCTATCCAGTGCTGGAGGGCGTCGCCCTGCGAGTGACAGCCGAGAGACACGCCCCCTGGGAGACGCGAAACGGAGAGAACGAAACATGTAATTATCACTTTGCTGGCGTGGGACGGTGATGTGCACACATGTAATCAGCCTTCTATTCAGAGCCCAAGACTGACTGGCTCCCTGTAATAATCATGGGAAAAAAAGGAGGCTCACGCTCTTCCGGTAACAAATTTAAGGGCGCTAGGATGCTGTGATACAGTGTGCTAAGTGACTTATCTAGGCTCCGCCCACAAACGCATCCTTTTCGTAGCTACAGTTAGGACAGGCTTTACAGAACATGATCCAATACAGACTATTCAGGATAGATCAGGTGGATTAATGTTGCGTTAGGTGTCGCTCGGTAGGCTACAATGTTAACTTAGCTAGCTAGCAATGCTAAAGCAATTGCGAAGCTCAGCCTGTCCTAACAGGGTGATCAGTCTGTCATTTGGACCAGTGGGGAACCGTCAGGGCCTTCTAGGCCTTCAATGAAGGCCTAATGATTTCTGGGAACTAAAAGATGCACATTTTAGTTCATTTTTATTCAACAGAATTTTACTGTATTTAAACTCGTAGTATTACAATGCTACTCTTGTTTCAAGTTTTGGATGAAAACAAAAGGGTTAAATTCTTGAAACACCCAGTAGAAAATTGGCCAGTCAAATTTATCCGTGGTTTCTAGGTAGAGCTCTTGAAGTCATAACCAGTAGGAAGACTTAGAATGACTATCGGCATAATTATGAGGTAATAAATGAATCAATCACATTCTGATTTCCATTGGGCAGAAGCAATTCAGATAGCATTTTAACAGCATCATTCTAGGCCTTCTGGAAGTAGTTGGTTTCCAAAAGTGTTTTGCTGCGTCTCGCAGCAAAGTTGCTTGCTTATTTCCGGTACCGCTGTTTTCACACATGCGCAGGCTGAGAAATCCGAAAGAAATCAGAGTAAGAGTTTATATTTCTTTCTAGAATAAAACCATTCTGGACGCTTGAGTAAACCTTATTTTGTTGATTAACAATGGTGTATATAGTATGTCTCCTAGCATGTCTACTTTTAATAAAAACCCTTTTTGAGTCAATTTAAAATACTCTTATTGGGCTAAATAGTAAAATCAGAAATGAAAAATACATTGACAGATGTCAGTATTGCTTCATAACTCTAACAAAATAAAGGCGACTATATATAATCATACCACGGCTTCTCTGAGCATGGCAAAAACGGTGCTAAATATCGGAGTATGCCCGAAATTTTCACATCATTTGTCTCATACATGTGTCTCTGACATGCAAGCTTTATCTATGACCTTCATCTATGAATTTATTAAATATTATAAGCCGTTCACGCTATCAGCATCAGCTGAGAAGCTGACGGCTAACCCCAGTTTGTAGATGGCTAACCCCAAGAAACTGGCTTTTCTGTCCATTCTATTTTTCCCTTTAACTCATTAACTCGTTACATTCTAAATACAAACTGGATTAATTTACCTCAGACTGCAACTCGCTACACAGAAGGGGATGGATTTAGCGTGTTTTGCACTGCCTGTATGTTGTGTTATCTGTGCTTATTTGTGGTAGACCGGTATAACAGTAATGACAAAACTCGTAACTTACAAAGGATTTCAACTGGTATAACAATATGTGCCGCCACTGTGTACCACTTTGAGGCACATCGTTGGTAAATGACATGTAAACGCTGCTTAACTGTACAACAGCAAAGGGTTTCTAAGTGAATGGAAAGTGCAGATTCACTGTGAAGAGATGAGTGGAACAGTAGAGATGCTATTTACCGATGAAATCGTTAGACTTTCCCAGATCATAGTCCCATACTGTAACCTCCAGTGTCTTAGTCGCCAGCTCGTTGAATGTGATCTCATAGAAAAACTCCTGTAGAGGAGAAAGCGAGAGGTGGAGTTATGCAGGAAATTTACAAATACTTCATTTTTATATATAATACTTGATTTAAAATCTTGCATTATTATAATACAGGACACAGCTTTATGCAATTTTGACCCATTTTATCTACTTGACTTGCTTTATCAAGCACTTGACATTTAAGCAGTGTTTGTAGTGACCCTCACAGGCACATGCAGAAAGCAGAGCATTAATGCACACATGGACATGTCTCCTGAGCCTCACGTGTAAGCAGCAACACAGGAAAACACACACACATACACACTGGTGTGTTTTCCCATCACTGTGAGGTGTTTTCCACAAATGCTAACTGGTGTACATAAGCATACTTGTTATCTACATTGCAAATTGTTTAGATTAGATTGTTTGAATTTGAACAACTTAACAATTTCTTTGGACTTTTTTAATAAAAGCTGCAGTTTTTGGGGCAAAAAAAATGCATTTCTACAGGGGCTCCTGAATGGCAGAACAATCTACATACACCTGTGCTGGTAATGATCCTCGAATTCAGATGTGGGGTGGGTGGGGTATCTTCCCCTTCTTTGCTTTAGCTTTGGTTGAAGCTAAATGAATGTTTCAGTTATGAGCCATCTAAAAATTACAGGAAGATAAAATGCTGCTATTATTAATATAATATTATTATTATTATTTCTATTAGTACATCTGCTGATGCTTCCAGGAGCGTCACTGATGATGTGTCCAGTAGCATCAGCAGATGGACTTACAGAGATTCTACTTCTACTACTGATAACAAAAGCAATATGTTTTCTTCGGTTCTCTGAAGCAGACGTCAGAGCAAGTGACAGTGTGTGAGTTGAAGTGCAATCTTTTTTAAATAAACTAATAAGAATTGCAACAAGTGACACAGATTTTAACATCCAATGCCATGGACCCTGTAGCCGCTTAGCTTAGCCTGATTTTGAGAGCTGAAATGTGACCTGAAGCTGTTTTGTCTGATGTCTGAAACCTGACACTGTGGTCTGAGGACATCATAGACTGTACTATCGGCAGCTTTCTGTACAGACCTGAGCACCGAACATGTTCAACCTTCATGTTTAAAAGTTTAGATATGTTTACATTGAATGAAATAAATTAATAAATGAACAACATTATTCTCACATTTGTGGCATCATCAATGCAGTTACCACAGTGATTTGGTTAACCCAGGGCTCGGCACCATGCGGCTCTTTTACTGTCCTGTTGTGGCTCCACAGCAGAATCAGATTTGTTGGTAAAAATAAAATAATCCTCCTTTACAGTAAAATAAAGCTCTGCTGATCGTTCAACACAGTTTAACAATAAATGGTCTTAAACTCTGGAGTTAATGTAGAACTGCTAATTCACCCTTCAACCCTGAAGATCAGCGCAGACTGCTGGTCACCATAGCAACACAGACAACAGTCTCGCCTAGCTAGTTGCTAACGAAAAGGTAAAGAGAAAGATTTAGACTTATTAAAGACTTATTTGTATTTAGAATTGCTCCAGCTGGTTTCCTGATATGTTTAATCAAACTTTAATCAAGCTTCTTGTTTGAATTGTCCCATTCCACCTTAAATGGTGCAGCAGTTACATTCTGGCGCCTCAGGCACCATTTAAGGTGGAACGGGAAAATTCGAACAAGAATCTGGTGAATGAGAACCGACTTCAACCTCGTAAAAAGTTGAATACTGACAGACATTTTACAAGAAACTGTTCTTCTTCTGTGGGAAAGTTTCCTGCTGGAGATGCGAGAAAAGCAGCTATAGCTGAGCTAAAGCTTAAAGCAGAACAAAGTGAGTCTGCGCTTTCATTTATATTTTTAGCCTATATTAGCACATCAGCACATACTGAGACATATTTACAGCCAAGATGGTAAAATGGACATAAAATGCTGTGGCTCCTAAGGTGGTTTGATTTCTGTTGAAAGGACAAAATGGCTCTTTTAACCTTTGGGTTGCCAACCGCTGGATTAACCCCTTAAAATCCCAGGCTTATTACATGTTAAGGCTTATTATTCAGTAACTACAGGGACTTCCCATGCAAATGGTTGAGCTATTTTTTGGTTATAGAACCGATGTGGCATTTAACATGTCTCAGATGAAGCATGTTCTAGCCTTCACCCTCCCAGCTTGGTAGGATCATGTAATGGGGAGACCTAGCTAGGTGGATGAACTGGGCACAAGTAAACTGGGGGAAAAGATTAAAAAAACCTTTTTCCTTGTGGGGAGCAGACAAACATCCCCTGACAACGTTCACATAGTCATGATTCTGAAGAGATTTGGATAAATACACACACACACATACCTCATTAAACTCAGGGTTCAGTGTTTTTTTAATGACAGCAGTCTTGTGTTTCGATTTCTTCTTCACGTCTGGTTTGAGGTACCTGCAAGGGAAGAGACACAGAGAGAGAGAGAGAGAGAGAGAGAGAGAGAGAGAGAGACTCAGTTAATAATGAAGAACATTCAAAGCCTCTCTGAATGAATGGCCTCCATTTCTGTCCTTTGTTGCCTTTAATGCAGTGCGTGCCTACGCATACCTCACACACAATACACAGCAATGACGACAGTGAGTGTGTGCTGCGTGCATGTGTTTGTTTGCCTTAATGCTGAATGTGTGTGTGTGTGTGTGAGACCAGGACTGAGTGGTTGCCATATTTGTTATTTGCCCATAGGAAGATAACTGTTTGTGTGTGTGTGTGTGTGTGTGTGTGTGTGTGTGTGCCGGAAGAAGAAAAAGAAAGTCAAAGAGTAAACCAAAGAGAGATAAAAAGTCAGAGACCACCCATCATCATTTTAATTTCCCGTCAAAACAACCATTAAGTACAAGCTATTAAGTTTTTGATTTTTCGGCATCAGGAAAAAAGGCAGAAAAATACTGTAGCGATATGGGGAACCTTGGTGGAGTCAGGGGTCTGGGCCATAGCTCATCTTTATTAATAATTCACTCAAAACAGCGCGCAGCCGAACGGAAAACATGCAGCACACCAGCTAGCTCAGGCTCTACTGTCCCTGGCCTGGCTACTCCAGCTTGCTACTAAAACAAACACACTGGCCATAGCTATCCCTTCAGAATAAGAGTCTGTGGAAAGAACTGCATAAGGATTTCTTGTACACAAAATAGCGAGTTTACCATGAACCCATTTAAACTGAATGAACAGGGCGTGCTCTGTTGCCACATTGCCCAAACCTGCTGCTTAACAGTCCCAGTCCCACCAGACCAAGTCTTTAAGGGCACCCGGATCAAGGAGGTAGCAAGAGTTCCCCATTGCTCAGCTTCTGGACTATCCACTGCAGCCTCATGGCATGACCCAGTCCTGCTGGGCCCTCGAAGGACATTGAGGTCATTCTGAAGCTGCTGAGGGTCTTTAACAGTGCTCTGGTGCCACCGGAAAGCATGGCAGGGTTTCTCTGAAGAGCACAGGCAGGTCAAAGGAGACTGGGCTGTCCACTGCAGCTGTCGGGGTGCTTCGGAACGTCGGCTGGGAGGTCTAGCAAAGCCTGCAGGACTGAGCCTTCAAGTGCTGAGGCTAATTGCGCTGCTTTCGTCAGCTCAAAACTGTCGCAGATAAGCTGCTCAATTCCCGAGCCATCATAACGACGTAGCGGCAGCAAGTGTGTTTGAGCTTCATGGGTGATGCCAACTGCCGCATTCGCTGCATCACGTCTGTGGCTGTTAGCTGTGGAGGACACAGGTTCAACGCAGAGTGGCCCTATCGACCACTGCAGGTCAGCTATTTCTTCAGCTAGTCCTCGTGTGGTTTGGCACCATTGCGTCTTATTGTCACCCTCTGTTGGCCTCGCGCTCCCCACAACCGATCTCCCATCCTCGGTTTTTCTGCCAGTTCTGACACCATTGTAGCGATGGGGGTGCTCAGAAGAAATTTTGTGGAATCAGGGGTCTGGTCCACATGCAGCACACCAGGTAGCTTAGGCTCTACTGTCCCAAGCTAGGCTATTCCAGCTTGCTACTAAAACAACCACACCGGCTGTACATGTAACTTCAGAATAAGAGTCTATGCAAAGAACTTTTCTGGTAACAAAAATAACGAGTTTACCGTGAACACATATTTAAACTGGATGAACAGGGCGTGTTCTGATGCCACATTATATTTAACAAAAAATGACACAGAAGCCTCAACAACTAAATATAATATTAAATCAGTATTTATTGTGTCCGCTCTTTACCTTTATTACAGCTTCCATTCTTTTCAGGAGACTAATTTTCAGCTCCTCAAAGAATCTGCAGACACACCTCCAAAGTTCAGTCTTAGAAGCTGGTTGATCATTTTCTGAAGTAATCAAACACAATCAGTGGTGTTGAGGTCTGGACTCTGGGGTGGTCAGCCCATTGTTCAGCTTCTTTGTTTGATGTGTCCGTCTCCTTTTCTCAGTGAGGTTCTTCTCGACAGCTACACATCCTTTCAGACCCACAGCGCTGAGTCGTCTTCTCACAGTGGAAGGATGGACAGAAACACCTGTGGATGTTTTCAGATCTGAAGCAGCTTGATTTTCTCCTCTCTCTCAGAGATGAAAGCTCTAAGTGCTGTTTATCTGATGGGGGCAGCTTTAGTGTCTGTCAGGTTTTTGAACTCCAGTTTTGGAAACTCCTGTTTTTTCTCTTCTTTGACTTTCTCCTTCTGTATGCAAGGGGATTATATTTTATATCTAATCTTCTCAGAAAAATCTCTTGAAAAATAGGTAACTTTAATATGTAACATTTCTATTGGTCCAAATGGAAGATTCTCGAGATGCTGGATATTTTTTGGAACAAAATAAAAAGGAAACAAGAAGTCAAAAGAGAGAACAAACAAAAAAAATTGAGAAAAAAGAAACAAACTAGAAGGAAAAGGAAAGAAAAGAAAGGGGGAAGATGTAAAAAAAGAATTCAGGGAAAAAAATGAGAGAAGAAAGACAAAGGACACTTAAATAAAAAGAGAAAGAACATATGAAAAGGAAGATGAGAAAAACAAAGTGAGAAATGAAAGAAAAAAGATGGAGTAATGAAAGAAATAGAGAAAAAGGTAACACAGTTAACCAAGAAAAGAAAGTACAAAGAGGGAGCTGAAGAGGAAAAAGAGAGAATGTGCAAAAGATAACAATACAGAAGAATGAATCAGACAAGAATAGATGAAGGAGGGGGAGCCAAAGAAAAACTGATAAAATCTGCAAAAGGAGATGAGAAAATAGAACAAAATGAATCAAAAGGGAAAAAGAAAGACGCAGTGGGGAAGGAAAGAAAAAGGAGTAAATAAGACATCGGCTGTGATGTTAAGCTTAAGGACATCAGTGGCATTCAAGTAAATATAGCAGAAGACCCACTTTTCCCTCTGATGTCTGTCAGGACTTATCACTCTCCCAACACATACACCACAGACAGGCATCACGATGATAATAATGCTACCTCCCGTTTCAGGACTCTGTTTAACATGTCCTCATCGTTTCCCATCAGGTGGAACCCCAATACCATTTTAAAGGGCCTATATCATCAAAAACTAACTTCTTGTTTACTTTCTTAATAAAAGAGATTGTTAAAGTTTCAAAACACGCCATTCATTCCTCAAACCACACAGTACATATATAAAAAACTAAAAATTAAATGGTGGAAAACACAGTTTGGTAGATGTAGAACATGGTGGAACACATACAGGATGGTAGATGTAAAACATGGTGGAACACATACAGGATGGTAGATGTAGAACATGGTGGAACGCATACAGGATGGTAGGTGTAGAACATGGTGGAACGCATACAGGATGGTAGATGTAGAACATGGTGGAACGCATACAGGATGGTAGATGTAGAACATGGTGGAACGCATACAGGATGGTAGATGTAGAACATGGTGGAACGCATACAGGATGGTAGATGTAGAACATGGTGGAACACATACAGGATGGTAGATACAAAACATGGTGGAACACATACAGGTTGATAGATACAGAACATGATGGAACACATACAGGATGGCAGATATAGAACATGGTGGAACACATACAGGATGATAGATACAGAACATGATGGAACACATACAGGATGGCAGATACAGAACATGGTGGAACACATACAGGATGGTAGATACAGAACATGGTGGAACACATACAGGATGGTAGATACAGAACATGGTGGAACACATACAGGATGATTGATAAAGCACTGGTGGTCTATATATCCACTACTTTGTGCAAAGAAATATGTCTCAGCATCTAACTTCTGATAATATCGCCCCCTTGTGGAGAACCTTCAGCTGCTAAACTTGAGTGAGTAAGTTACAATGAGGTGCATCCCTTCTAACAACAAGGCAACTGCATAGCCTACACGCTTACGTTTTGACGTAGGGGTCAGAAAAGCCGTTGACGTCCATGGCGGCTAGGTGAGCGCAGCGTCGGACGCCCACACACAGGCCACCCTTGGCTCTCTCCTTGGCCTCTGGTGGGACCTCTCCACCCTCAGGGTCCTGGGCTGGTGGCAGAAACTGCAAGCACAGGAGCAATCGGCCCCGCTCCTCCAGACTCCGCTGCTGCTCCGTCTCCCACTACAAACACACAGATACACATCAGATAAGGCAGAAGCTGCATAGGTCATACTGTCATAACGCAACTACTGTGAGGAAGGATTGTGTATATGATCACAATAACACCATAACCTCAGTGAAGAAGGTGGGAGCATCATGATATGGAGTTGCCTCTCTGCAAATGGCACTGGAGCATTAGCAACATCGGAGGAAACAGGAATGGAGCAATATAGTTGGAGATATTAGAGATTTTAATCTTGTCAGCCAAGAATGAGGAGAAGACTGACATTTCAAAAAGACAATGACCCCAAATATACAGTCAAAACAACTTAATACTGGTAACATAATTACTGGTAAAGGTAAGTGCATCACCTAACCAATTTCCTGACTTAAACCACTTTGAAAATTTATGGAGGATTTTGAAATTGCAAGTCCAACAGAGGGACCCTTGTAATCTTGTGGAATTTAATACAGTTTGTCAAGAGGAACGGGCCAAATTTGAACCACAATGCTACCAAAAGCTAATTACTTCTTACCACGTCAGACCTGTGATTGCCAACAGTGAGTGTGTTTACATGCACTTAATAATCCGACAACTGCAGAAAATCAGATTTTGTCAGTGATCCGATCAATGCGTTTACATGCACTTGAGTAATCAGATAATGGGGAAACTCCAGGTCTACATGAGTCAGACAGTAATCGGATTTCTGCTTTACAACCAGCCAGTAAACTCCTAGAATAAGATGGACACATAAATGTAATGTAAAGCTGCTTTACCTGAAAATATGAACATACATCATCTAGAAAATGAAGAATATTTAAATCCTTTATTTTGTCAAGCATGTTTTTGGTTTCAGCGTCGCGCCAAAAGTGTTTTGCTGTGTCTCGTCACTTATTTCTGTTACTGCCTTCTGTTCCGCACATGCACAGACTGAGAAATCCGAAAGAAATCAGAGTAAGAGTTCACATGCACTGAGAAATCTGATTACGGAGCTAAAATCCAGCCTGTTTATCAGATTTCTGGACCTCACTCCAATTTCTTAGATCTGTGCTGTTTACATGACCATTTGAATAATCAGATAACTGCAGAAATCTGATTATGATCAGATTATTGAGTGCACGTAAACACACTCAATGACTTTCCAACGTAGTACCAAAGTTATTCATAGGCGGTGTCCTAATTTTTTTCCCTCTGTATTGCTTTTTAAACTTTGTTTACGTTTATGAATTCATGCATTTATTCATATTTATACATTTGGAATGCATATATGCACTGGAAGTATATTAAGTAACAAAAACAAGTGTCTCTTCACTCTATGGAAATTATAGGCCTGTTCGCTATAGCTGCATCTCTGGCTCAGCTGTATACAGGATAAGTAATCAGTTTAGCTGAAGTTGAATTTTACCCACAGTGGAAAATGCTTCAAAGGCTGTAAGTCTCTTCTCCTCCGTAATTTCTCACTGATGTGTCACTCTGATGAATTCCGGTCTGTTTTAAACTTGACATAACAGCGAGCCCCAGTACGGCGCACCACAGGTTGCTACCTTGGGAGAGATGATTAGAATTTCTGGAACCTGGCTCATAAAATCTGAATAGTTAGGCGCCAGAATACATGAATAACAATAAATCTCAACAGTGAAAGGAAGTTGGTCTGCAGCCGCTTCTTGTTATTGCTGTGTCTGCTTGGTATTCGGAACGGAAGTCGCTGGAGATGGAGAGAATCTGTCTTCTGTAGATTTGCCCAGGAGATACGCAGAGCAAAGCTAACATGATCAATGGTGGGTTCTCAACTGCAGAGCACCAGCCTCTGACGAAGGTTCCCGAGACATCGCCCTTTTTACTCGTTTCTCTGTGCTGTACGTATCAGCCAGATCGAACAGCGGAAGTGCTTTGATTTTCGCTCATATTCTGTTCTACCTGCTTTGGTGTTCATTATCTCTCGCTGTGAAAAGAATCCACTCAAACACTCAAACACTATTACGGAAAGCGCCGAAGCGATTTCTCTCTGTACAACAAGTCCCTTGGGTATTTCGTACATAAGACAATCATGTCGGCCTCAACTAGAGTCCAGCTCGCTGACAGAAGGTAACATCAGGGACAACACGTGAGATATGAACTATGGTATGAACCAGGTGGGCTGAGTAAAAGCCTTCTCAAAAGGAAAGGCCATTCAACTTTAACCTCTGCCATTTGGAATTCAGGCAAGGAACAGCGCTTCAAGGGACAATATTTATATTTTAGCTTCATCACGATATTAAAGTTGACTCACTGTGTGCAACTGCTAAATAATAATCCAGAACTCAGCCAAAAATAAATCAGCACCACGGTACACTGTTGGACATAAAGCCTGGCCTTAGACCTCGTATTGTTTTAGGCTTGCGACACGCTAAAATCCCAGGACCCATCACTCAACGTGGAGTTGGTGTGACATACCTATATGGGAGTTTCTAGAATGTTCTTCCCTCTTCACATCCATTCATTTAGCGTGATATTTCTTTTACTAGATTAAAGTCAAATAGTGCTTATTTGTGGGGCTGCCTGGACTGGTAGTTTTCGGCTGCATGAGCGGCGTTACGCCGCAGCTACGAGGCCTCTTGGGCTGGCTGCCTAAGCGATGCTATGCTGCAGCTATGAGGCTGCCTGGACTGATGGTTTTCGGATGCAGGACAAGGCTACCCCTTCGTGGCTAAGGACATACCCGGCCTTTAAGGATTCCTAGGCTGGCTGCCTGTGTGACGCACCGTAGCTGTGATGTGAGACTTTCCCCACGGCTAAAGACTCTTTTTGGGCTGGCTAAGTGACTCTACACTGTGGTCATTGTAACCCCCCCTTGCTAGCTGTTGGAAATGTAGAAGTGTGTGTGTGTGTGTGTGTGTGTGTTTGTGTGTGTGTGTGTGTGTGTGTACTGTGTTGTTTTATTTATTGTTGATTATTTATTTTGTTATTTTCTGATCTTTTTGTAAAGCGTCCTTGGGTTTGAGAAAGGCGCTACATAATTTAAACTTATTATTATTATTATTATTATTAGGTGAAGAATGTTGGTATTTGGTATGGAATGTTGGTGTTTTGTGGAAAACAGAGGTGTTTGGTGAATGTTGTGGAGAATGTTGGAGCTTGTTTGGAAAATGATGGCATTTTGTGGAGAATATTGGTGTTTGGTGGACAATGATGGCATTCATTGGAGAATTTTGGAGTTTGTTGGACAATGTTGGAGAATAGATTTTGTTTAAGATTTCTGGTGTTTGATGGCTAGTCTGTGGGAAAATGTGGGCGTCCCAGGAGAATGTTGGAGCTTGTTGGAGAAATGTGGTGTCTGTCTGGGAATGTTGGAGCTTGTTGGAGAAATGTGGTGTCTGTCTCGGAATGTTGGAGCTTGCGGAAGAACATTGTGTTAATTGTTGGAATTTGTTGAAGAATCCTGAGAGTGTTGTCTTGGAGATTTTGTGTGCGTGTTAGAGAACGTTAGTGTTGGAAAATGATGGTGTTTGTTGGAGAATTTTGAAGTTTGCTGAAGAATTCGATGACAGGAGCACACAGACCCAGCATTCTCCAACAAACCCAAGGCCAAATGTACCAGTGTGAATGAGTGAAGAACGTTCCAGAGTATCTAGTCATTGGATCGACTCGGTCATAACAGTGATAGTGTTTGTTGAAGAACGATGGGCACCAGGTTAAAGGAAACCAATCCTATGGCTTTACTTAGGTCCTCAATTTAAGCAGTTCTGTAGGGTTTTTGCCATTTCACTTCACCTCTTCTACACTAGAGCTCAATGAGCAACAAAAACACTGTAGATTTATTCTCAAATCCCAGTACACGTCATTGTGTAATGAACTGGTTACGTAGCTTGCTAATGACAAGCTGCCATCAGGCTGGAAGGCAGATGGAGGGGAGGGCAGAAGACTGGGGAAGCATGTGAGGGGGGAGAGAGGAGATGAGTGAAAAGTGAGCACAAAATCCAGAGAAGAAGAGACCAACACAGTGTGAGTCACTCGTGACCATAGGCGGCTCTGTATGTACAGCCGCATGTATTTATAGCCTTCCAGCGGCACATTATTTTGAGCCGTACGTGAGCCATCAGTTTCACGTGTGACGTAACCCGGCTCCCTGCGAAAACAGTCCACTGAGCCTGCCAGGGTCTCTGACTCTAATAAGGATTTTTAAATACAACGAGACAAGTTCTAAAAATGTGCAACAAGCAAGATGCAATTTTCTCTAGCAGCTCCTCAATCTCTCAGCACGCCGTTCTCCAGGAAGTAGGACAAAGGTGATCACTGAGTGGAGCAAGGCTCCCAAATAAACCCTCCTTCCTGCCCTCCTCATCAATGAATCGTTAAACTTTCCTTCCTCCCCAAGAAAGCTGCGCACGTTCAAGACCACCTCTCTCCTCTTCTTTCTCTTCTCCGGTTCCACTTGTCAAGCGCTTTCGTCCTGGCCTCATTTGACTAATTAGCAGGTCTCAGGAAGTGATCTGCTGAACTGGTTTGCCTGGCTGTGTCAAATGGTCCGGTAATGAGAAAGCAACATGAAAGGGGGGCACAGCTGCCGTCCTCAGAGAAACCGAACTGGCTTTCTCCCACTTTAGTTAAATATTTAATGGTAGAGAGAGTATGGGCAGGGCAAAGTGGAGCATTAGTGACGTGGAAAGAGGGGGAAAATGAGACCGCCGAATCGGTACTGGGATTTAGAGCCAGGGAAGCAGAAAGAGAGGAAAAGGAAATGTACCTCTCTAAGATAGCAGGAGATCCCTCTGAGTGCTGTGCTCATAGCAGTCGGAGACGCCAGCTGAAAGACAGAGATCCAGTTAGTTTGAAAGCAGAGCTTCACCCCAGATTCTTATATGGCTAATGAGAAATGATAAATAGTGGGAGCCATGATTCCCACTGGCTTTCATTCATCATTGCCCAGATGGCAAAGAAATGTTGAGAAAATATTCACACACTATTGTCCAGTTTAATGCAGCATTGTTGAATCACCAATGATTTGAGGCTACTGACCAAAACAGACACAATATCAATGTTAATTTAGCGCTCCTTTGCTATCTGGGTAGCAAAACTAGTGGTCGCAAGATGGTAGCTGAAAAGCAGGACTTCACAAAAAATGCTAACTTTGCTAATAAGCAGTGGTGGACAGTAGCTAAGTAAATGTAATTCAGAACTGTACTTAAGTAGTTTTTTGTGTATCTGTACTTTACTGAAGTTTTTGCATTTTGGGCGACTTTTTACTTTCACTCCACTACATTTCAAAGTCAAATATCTCACTTTTTACTCCACTACATTATGAGAAATCTGTCGTTCCTTTTGGGTTATGTGTGTATAAAAACGTAACGTCAAAACGAAAGAAGCGCAAAGCAAGAACACCAATCAGGGCACAGCGGTCACATTGTTTTGAGCTTGTTTTGACCTGTTGGTCATACCGACCCAGTGCAGCACACGGTTCAACATCAGTGCAGCAGCGTAAAATTTTGGGAGAGTCTATTCAACATAAATGATGAACTAACCTAACTTTGTGTAAACAGACCACAATATAGAAATATGTACTCATATGCAGTTGTGACTGACGTGTCTTTTTTCTGAATTCATACAAACAATATTTCATTTTATAGTAAATTAGTTTTGTCTAGTTTATGTTTATGAACAGAGACCTACAGATGCAGTTTAGTAAAGGAAACTCATTTGTGAATCTGAGTTTAAAGTTTTTATTAAACTTAAACTTGTAACTAAGTTGCAAATAAATCTTAAACTGAAACTTTGGTTGTTTGTAAAAAGTGATTTCAGAGCCACTCAGTTCTACCTGATGGAAACTGTTTGCCTTCAGTGTTTTGTGCTTATGATAATTTTAATAAACATCAGCGTCACTAACTAATGACATTCTATTAAAAGACTGGTTTACCAAGAGAGACACTGGAGTATTTTCACCTAAAATGAGTTAATGAAGCAGAGTCATGTTACAAAAATGATAATAGGATATTAAAGTCATAATTAATCTTTTAGTACTTTTACTTTTGATACTTAAGTACATTTGAAGGCAAATGCTTTTGTACTTCTACTCAAGTGGAGGTCTAAAGGGAGGAACTTCTACTTTTGCTGGAGTAATATTTTACCTTAAGTATCTCTACTTTAACTCAAGTACATGGTTTGTGTACTTCGTCCACCACTGCTAATAAGTGAGTTAGCAAGATGCATATGTTAAAGTTTCTAAGAAAATCTTTACTAAGCCCTTACTTAACATAACTTAGTTTCATACTATCCTCTTACCCTGATAACAAGAGAATAGTGGACCACTGTTGGCCCGCTGATGGCAAAGCTGGTGGTCCACTGGCATTTTGTTCAGCGTTTTCTGGGCGGCCCATCAGTGTTTAAGCAGAGTATTAGACAAATTTCCACTTATCATCACTCGTTTTCCACTCACAGTCCAAATTACTTATTTTCCCTTCCTTCCTTTCTTTAGTTATACTTTGTAAATTAGTTTAGTAACTAATTTTAATCTACATAGTATCAGCAATATTTTCTATAAAATCATTTTATATCAGGCCTAGTCATAATGTTGTTCCCTCTCAGTTGTTTGTCATATTTGTCTTAGTTTATTTTCTAAAATAAAAGTCTCTGTGCATTTAAAGTCTGTTTGAGGAGATTAAACACTAGGTAGAGCTTGTACACTGGACAGTAATCTGAGTGGTCCAAGGGTGGACTAGCAGTGGCAAACAGTCAGTGGGGTGTCGACCTTATCAAGCCAGCGGACTGATATATGCTCGCTATCTGGGTACTAAATTTGGTTGCAACAAACAGTCATATCTTAACTAGTAACAACTAACTAATGTTTACGTTGCTTTAACATGACAATAGCCTGTTCAGAACCAATCTATAAACCCACTGCCATGGAAACACAATAGCGGTTTCGCTATATATTCGGTATAGAAGTGAACGATGTGTACAAGTTATACTGAATAAGACTGAAAGCCTTGTCTGCTTATTCTTTAATGTTTCCTTGCAACAACCGTATATGTAGCATCTTTAAACAATAGTTTTTAGCCAACTGGAACAACAGCAGCGCCAGTTTAGCCGATTCGGCGTTGGAGCTGTGGGTGTTAGCTTCATGTTCAGAGTTCAAAGCAGGGTGACGATTATTGTTAGCATATAGCATTTAGTGTTTTGAGTTTAGTTAACCAAAAAAGTCATATATATATGGATCTCACTGGTTTCCTCAACGCTTACAGCCGCTAAAGGCTGAAATATTCCTTATTTGTAGCGACTTCATTAGCAGCACTAGCAGTCATGACGAGGGATATTTCAGTCTCTTATCTTTCTTAGCATTCTCAGAACGAGTCCTGCAGTAGCTGTGATTCAGACGCAAAGATGGATACTTGGCCTTAAAGCAATACTTCATCCATTAAGCATGATTAATTTGTGCAAAGCCAACTTGTCTCCACCAGCTTTCATTCGTTGTTAGCTGTGGTGACAAGTTAGCATGATTAATTAGCGCCACCAGCTATCATATCATTCACTGGCGATCACTAGAAAGAAAGAACACTTCGGTTGCCCCGAGCTCCCTCTTGGCATTCTGAGAAGACGTCTTGCAAGCGATGGTGTTGCTGACTCAACCTTTCCTAATTGGGATTTGGAATCAATACACGTTGAAGCTGTTTGCTCCCCATTTCTCCGACTCTCTGCGCTTTGAAGATGCCTCTGTCTGTATGTTATTAAGTTTATAAATAGGTAGAATAACTGAATAATTCATATGTTGTGTCTGCCGCCTCTGGGCACTGAGCATGTCCATCTTCCAGGCCAAGAAACACATTCACGCACTCACGGGGGGCGGGTGTTCCAGGCAGACGTTGAAGTGCTTGGGTTGGTCAGGCTTCACTCGACGTAGGGCCACCCTCGACTCACCAATGAACTCATTATGCGTCAGCTTGTCCTCATCACACACAGACACCCTGAGAGATAGACGGGGAGGGAAAGCATGAGCAAGAGAGGGAGGATAGAGAGAGAGTCAGAGGGAGAGAGTCAGAGGGAGAGATGTGCATTTGCACAAACAATGTCATTCCAGGTCAGGTAGAAAAGAAATTTGTCATACACGCAAACGCATGGCAATATATTTAAACCAAGAGTTATAGAGGGGTCAAGCTATGAATCAGCGCTAAAATCAATGTCTGAAATAGCTCCATTAGCCATTCCAGCATCTTCTACATCATTAAAGACATAGTTCAGCAAAAAATACACAGTTTACACAAGTCTGGAACTGAATTCTGCATGAAGGTACATCTCCAGGAGGAGCGTTTCGTTATTGACCACAGAAATCTTATTCCTAACTAGCAAAACAACAGCCAGTAAACAAAAGGCGGCTGCACATCTGTTAGCATTAGCTGCTGTATTCTTTCTGACAAGCTTTCAAAGCAGAGAGACGTTGAGAAAGAATGAAATACATCAAGGTTTTACCCAATAAATCAAAGGTTATCAGAGGCTTTTTCACTCAATAAGGTACTTGCTTGAACAAGAAACTGTAGGCTGGTAACCCTTGCTGTCATTAGTCACTGTAAAAACTATCGTTTACTAACCGTCCAAAGCAGGCGACCGATAACCTCAAGCAAATAGACTTTATTATTGGTTGCTAAATGATTTATTTTATCATATTATCATATTCAGTACCTCACTTACCCCAGATGTGGTTGATCTAACCAAATGTACCTTTTTTAGGTTAGCACTGGAGCTACGAGGCTAATGTTGCTAACAAACAATAGAAGTCAATAGTCACAAAATTGCCCAAAATGCCTCTCAACAGAATTTAACACAACACCCATTGTCTAAAATGGCTGTCCACTGCTTTCAGCAACACAGTGAAGTTTTTATAGTTCATGGTCATGAACATGGTCAGTATGTCCATGGTCATGAATATGGTCAGTATGTATATGGTCATGAACATGGTCATGAACATGGTCAGTATGTACATGGTCATGAACATGGTCAGTATGTATATGGTCATGAACATGGTCATGAACATGGTCAGTATGTACATGGTCATGAACATGGTCATGAATATAGTCAGTTTGTACATGGTCAGTATGTACATGGTCATGAACATGGTCATGAATATGGTCAGTATGTCCATGGTCATGAATATGGTCATGAACATGGTCAGTATGTACATGGTCATGAACATGGTCATGAATATAGTCAGTATGTACATGGTCAGTATGTACATGGTCAGTATGTACATGGTCATGAACATGGTCAGTATGTTTAAGTTATACTGACTAAAAAAAAATAATAATAACTCTATCTACGTAACCTAAATAAAGACTAGTTGTGGTTTAATTGGACTAAGATAAGTTTTGGGGATGTATTTCTGGAAAAGATTTGGGTGGCTGTTCACTTCTAGTGTTTGCTAGCTAGTTTGTTTTCCTCGTAGTTCCAGCGCTACACTAAAGGACACCAAATCTTGTTTGGCTGCTGGACTATGGACTACAAATTTTGTACTTTTTTTTTTTTACTATTCCTTTAATGTTCCACTGAGGTTACCCCTTGACGTCATTCAGCAGCCGCAAAGACATGTTGCATTCCACTCGTGCCAACTGGAGCTCTGTCCTCCGAGGGGGAAGATTGGAGACTCTTAAAAGTACTTAAACTCAGATTAAAAAAGAACAAGCGTAAAATGCTATTCCCATTGTGTTCTGATAACGGCGCCTTCAGGCACAGTTTAATCAGGAATGAATGAAGTTGTGGTAATTACTCATTCAGCCCTGCTTCATGTCGCTGGGCTGACACGAATGAAAACATGACTTATTTAAAGAGAGACGATAGGTTTTTCTTTATGTCAGTGGTTGGCCGCCAGGTCCTTCTGTGCCAGGAATAATTTAATTGGAATTAAAAGTTGAATGATTAGTTCATTATTAGTTCATTATTCCAATCTCGCAATGTTGCCCTCAGCCCTTCACTTGAAGACCGGAATGTAGGAATGGAGCTCACTGTTGTACGGAAGAGGACCGGTCCATCGCATGGTTCCTTTGCTCAGCATTGGACTGATGTTTCTTCCTACTACAGCTCAAGGTCAGTGACTAGGCTGATTGCATTGGAACCTATCATCAAGGCCTCGGACTGCATGATTAGCAGGTGTTTTCAGAAGGCCTTGATTAACTGACCATGGTTTTGGAACTGAACTCTACATGAAGGTAGATCTCCAGGGAGGCGGGTTATTGACCACAGAATGCTTCTTGAGAACTAGCAAAACAACGACAAGTAGTCATGGAAAGCTGATGTAATTTTAGCGATTTGTTAGCATTAGCGACTGTATTGTTTTGACAAGTTCTTAAAGTAGATGGATGTTGAGAAAGGCTGGAAAACATTCAATTTTACCCTATAAATCAGATACATACATACATACATCATCTAAACCGCTTATCCTTCTGGGTCACGGTGTATTATTCAGATATTATTGAGGAATTTTCACTCAAACAGGTACTGTGTGGGAATTTTCTCTTGCTAACACAGGCCAAATGCTAATTCTTGAACAACAAACCGTAGGTCGCTAACTTGGGAGTCACTGTGGAAACAGCATCCTCTCCTAACCATCCAATACAACGGCTGAAGGACCCCCCCATGGGCTTTATCTCTGAACAGCTGTAATAGTTTCCATTAGATAAAAGCTTCATATAATCACCGCTAACTAGCTAATTAGCTAAAAAAACATAGTTCAGTTAAAGACCTATAGAAGCTGGTCTAAGCTAGGCTACGAGCACCGTGCCTGTCAGTTTGCTATACTGCATCACCATCTGTTAATTTGTTTACTATTTTGTACACATATAGCTTGCATGTGCAGTCTGAAGAAGATAGCAAAAAAAGTTCTGTAATGACACCGAAGCCCTGATCACTGAACCACCCAGTTAAAATGCCTTATCTTTTTTCGTTCCAACAGGTGTCATTGGGATGATAAGAATGGGAACAGGCTGTTAGCGCTGCTCTGTAGGCGACCCTGCCAGTCTGCAGTGACAGCAGAGGAGGGTAAAGTTCAGCTCCTCACTGCTGGGCTTTAGTTACATTTAGGGAATCATATGACTTTAAAGAGGGGGCAATTATTTATTATCACCCACCCCTAATTCTTCAGTGATATGAAGAAAATTCTCACATTTGTGGGTTTCTTTGCTCTCTTGTTCAGCCATCTTGCCAATTTTTCTATTTTCTCATAACCCTCTGTTTGGAGTTCGACTCTGAAAAACCTCCATTTGGAGTGCCATGTAGCCACTCTACCCCTCCACCCAACAAAAATCAGGACACCCTACCCCTAGACGTGAATGCACAAAATGGAGGGGTAGGGCTAAGTGGCAAGGGGTGAAATGGGATTGGGCCTACATCTATACGTCAAAGAAATGGTCCGAACATGCAAACGTGTACTGTCAAAGGCACTAAGCAATTTCTAAATTTTGTCAGTAAACGTGAATGTGAAACACATAAATTATACTTGTAGTCAAAAATTCATAAACATATTCTACAAAAAAAGTATAATTGTTTTTGACTATAGTTTTCCAGGCAGTGGACAAGCTTCGTTATTATGCCTGAGCACCATGGATACCAGACAACCGTATGCTGAGTGCACACTACTATAATGTTCAGCCCGATTTTAACACTGATTTGCCGCTTTATAACAAATATTTTTACAAAATAAGAGCTCGGTAGGAAGCGATTAAGGGCGCGGATGATCTGGTAGTAATAACAAGTCAATCTTTACCGCTTTACTGATCAAGCCTTCCGATATTTTCAAACATGTTTGGTTTTTACGACTCAAAATGTTCTGAAGAAAGTGAACAAGTGATTCAGGCAACAGCCAATGAGAGAGCTAGGAGAGAAAAAAGGTGAAGGCATCAAAATAAAAAAGTGAACGCAGGTACAGTACGGGAGAGAGGAGAGGAGAGGCGGGCAGAGGTGGAGAACAAAGCGGAGTAGAAGACGAGCAGAAGACGGCGCAAGAAAAGAAGAGGAAGTCTGTGTACGCCTATTTCTGAGGGTCCTGAATTCTGACTGTATTGGGATCGTCTTTGTTCAGGCAGTCTCTTTTTTCTTTCTGTTTATGCCCTCCCTCTCTCTCTCTCTCCCTCTGTCTCTCTGTTTGGAGCCCTGGGAGCAGAGTGGTGAAATTGGGTCCTGTCACCGGCCTCCGGAACTCTCAGGCCATGCAAAAGCATGCGCGGTATGCCAGACGAGCGTTGCCCCGGGAAACGGTGCGGGTCGATAGTCTTTTAAGGACCGGCCGGTAATTTAGTGTTCGTCACCCTGTCATCCCAGCGGAAAATGAGAACCCGGCCACACACTCACTTATGCTGAAGAGGGACACCAGAGAGAGAGAGAGAGAGAGAGAGAGAGAGAGAGAGAGAGAGCGAGAGAAAGAGAGAGAATAATGATCATAATAATAATGAGTGACGAGTCTAGAAGGATGGAGAGATTAAGCTACTTAATCTTTACATGAGAGTAAATGATCGCTCTGCTATTGGAGTGACAGATGACATTCAGTCGGCAGGGCTATTGGAAAAGCCTGCCTAGTTAGTCTGGAGGGGTTTAAAGCAGCCATGGATCAATTTCAGACCGGTGTGAAGTCGGCAATTTATATGCAGAACAGCTCATTCGGTTCATAATTTGCCAACAGAGAGTTTAACGGGAATCCATCGTTTTACCCTTTTCCAAAAAAAGGCTCTACAAAGGCTTTAAAAAGTTCAGTGTAGGGAAAATTAAGTCGAAATGGAAAGCTAAGAAGATGATTTATTGCTAATGGAAAAGAAACGCTGGTGGACAGAACCCAGTGTATGTTATTCATTACTAAGCTAACTTAACTGCAATCTGCAGTTCGGCTCAGATCTTCTTAAGCTAACTCCCAGTAAACGTAATGTGCATAGACAGCTTATCGCAGAGCTGCTGAATCACCATGGGCAGGGCTCGGCACCATGCGGCT